GGCAGGACAGCGGCAAGGATCGGGGACGTTGCATGGAAATGAGACCTTATACGATACCCACGAGGCATATCCAAGACACAGACACGGCATAATATTTCTATCGAGAGAAATACAGCGTCTGAGGGCCTTCGCGCTCTTGATACCATCACAGACAGCAATATGAAAAACTTACGAGAGTTAGGATGCTATCTCAATTCGCCCTCTTTGCTCTGCTTCATCCCGTGGTACGAGCATAACAGTCATAGGATGACACTATGATTACGCTCATTGCAAGGATGAGATACACTTCTGCACAACGACATCTGACACTAATCACTCTTCACACGAGGTGCTGCATTAGGGGACAATGCTGGTCATTGACCAGACGAGAACGCTGCTATCGCTAGATTGTGAGGACTGCCTAGCTAAGTCTTAGGCAGCTCCTTTAGGGAAGCTGATTTCAGTAGGTCACCCATATGCCTTAACACGTACAAACGTAGGACTGATTATGAGTTTTCCAAAAGAGCCATGGCGTGAAGGACGATCTACATACTCACGTAGAACAGTCGCGTGTCTGTAAGATTAGGCTCTTGCGAGTCGCGACAATCATATCTACTGTTTCCCTACGTAATCGCCGGGGGCTAGCGTTTTCTCTGTTATTGCGAAACATCAAGGACTTGAATGATTGCAGGACTTTTCAACGACGTTCCTTTTCGATGGATGCAAACGTCATGTCGTGATACATGGGGAGAAGCATCAGTCAAGGGGTCGGAAACATCGGAACGGCATTCCGATCCTTTCACCTATAGCACCCGACAGCACCTAGTCTTCACCATCGGCGATCACGAGCAAGACTCTGCTTAGATGTAACGCTACGGATTTCATAATCGACGTCAGGTACCCGCTCAGTTCGGCATAGTCTTACACCGTGGATGGTTGATTTAGTGGGCATTGGCATGACATCAGCTCGACGTCAAATGGTGACGCTATCATATGGAGCTATAGAATGCCCTGAATTGGAACATTTTTATTTGAAGCAAAAGACTTCAGCTCAAGTACTCCAGCAATTCGACGGCATATTATTCAATCACTTCAAATTACAGCCTTTACACATCAAGCACATCTTGCAAACATGAGCCAAAACCAGAACCCCGATGCCGTCAGCGATGGACGCGAGTTTGCTGGACACGTCAAGCCCAGTGAGCCCCTTATGAGTGGCGGTGTAAGTACAATATGTTGCGTTTCTTGATTCCATCCATAAAAGAACCTGCTCCAGCCTCTCTGAGACTACATACAAGACGACGTCAAACACTGCTCGTTCTCATTGTTTGATACGATTGGACTTAACTAATGCGCCTCAGCATCAACCCGGAAAGCTAGTTGGTAACGATGCCGTCCCCGAGTTTCACGCACAAACACTTCCCGCCGGCACCGCCCCAGCTTCTGAGACCTTCCAACCCAATCCCGACCTCAACAACCAAAAGATGTACCATCAAGCCTCCGATACTCTCCAAGGCGCCACCTCAGGTGATGTTCACACCGGTCTCGGCCACCCGGGTCAAGGTCAAACTTCGCAAGAGCTTCACGATGGATCGAGGAAGGGTCAAGGCCTGACTGGTCTTGCTGGCAACGTCAAAGACCAGCAAACTGGTGGTTCTATCGAGACCCTGAAGGATGACCCTACGCACGCTGCTCAGAGGAATCTCGATGACGTGCCTACCGGTCAGAGAGGTAACACTGGTGGAGCTCCTGCCCAGGAGCGAGAGCCTTCATCAGCATAGATAATTTCTTCAAAGAAGGCTGTTGTATGATGATAAGAGCTGTGGTACGACATGATTGGTGAGCTCTGTTTACCTACATGGACCGCGATTTGACTAGTTGCTTGAAGCACTGTATATGGAAGTAATGAATTGATCAAATCAATCAATATTTATAGTTCACGTAGGCAGGGATTTACCGTGATAGAATGCTTGCGTGGTGACTGTGAGTAGAGTTTGGCGGGTCAATGTCCTCGATCACATGGAAAATTATAAGGTCGTCCCCAACGCAAGCCAGAGTTTTACTGGAGCCTAACGGCGTTGTTATTGCAGACTAAGTAGGCAATAGTAAGGCCAATTTGCTGGTGTGGCGTATTATTGGTTAATCCTTCGGTAGACATCACACGAAAATCATGGCATAGATATTAGAGAATCGCACTTCTTCAGTATGAAGAAGAAGAGTCTAAGTTGAGTGTCTTTGTGTATTCTTGTGATGCTGCACAAAACCTTCCATCATCTTCTTCCTTGAGGACCCGACAGAATACACCCATCAGCACACTCTGGGTCCGTGCTGTTGTAAGCAATTTGTCCAACACTGCCGCCAGGCTCGATGCTAGGATCGCGTGGGCTCTGGAACATACGTCCAGTCTCCGGCGAGAGTAGCGTTTCGATGATATCACCAAAGGGGTTCCGGATGTGAGCAATAGGCTGGCCTTTGGTGACTGGCTCATCGACAGCTACAAGCCTCTCGACGAATCCTCCATATTGTGACCATGTATCATGGAAAGTGGTGATCATGTATGTGTTGCTCAGGTCGGGCTCCACAGTTTCGTTGGTAGGTGTAATCTTGAGGTCGACCATGACGCGGTTCACATAATCGACCACACGGTCGATTAGGCTGTTGTTCCAGACCTTTGCCTGGCCCATCTCCACAGTGAGTGAAGGAATACCGTAATCGACGAAAGTTGTCTCGATGGATCCTGGCTCACCAGGATCAATTTTGAGAGTATCGGGTTGAAGGAGCTTGGCCAGACGCTCCACGTAGGGTAGGCGGAAGTCAGAATAACACCACAGCGAAGTCTCTCCGCCAGAACTGGGGGTATCTGTACTAGAATCAGCTATGTGTTGCTGAGATTGGATGCATGGAAGGCTTACGGAGATCAATGCCAACATCCACATTGGATGTGTTTGCCCAGATCTGGTTCCATATGTTGTAAGCTAGAATTTGAGGGCCACTACCTCCTTCCGTGGCTGCGGTACCAGGAAAGATGCGATTAACGTTCGTAAGCGATCCTGAAGCGCCCGAGGTGAAGTAATTTCGCTGGTTCAGGTATATTCCCATGGGATTCACGGTGGGAATGCCAATGACTACCTCAAAGTCAGCAGCAATCTTCGCAGAGATTTATAGAGCGTACCTGTGCCATTGAGTGTCGCGACTTGGTCTTGAAGCTGTTCGAAGATGCGTTGCACCACGCGAACCGGGTTTAGCTCGTCGCCATGAATGGAAGCTGACAGCGACAGTTTTTTGCCCATTTCCAAACTTTCTGGTGTTCCACGTGCAACCATAATTGGTATGTGGACAGGGTGACCGCCATTGAGCTCACCAGCTCGCATGTAGTATTTCGAGACAGTCTGCGGGGGTACATCAGCGAGGTCAAGGCCGCTGATGACCGGGACACCATTCACGACATCGCCGGTGAAGTTCACAGCAGATACGCTGCCGGTGAGGACCGCGGTAGCGGCGACTATAGTGGGAATGAGCTGCATTGTCGCGTGAGCTGGCTGAGACCTGAAAAGCTGTGTTCACTCACCAGCTCTGCTTTATAGTCCTGACAAGTCGCGATAAGAGTTCAGCCATCCCAATTCCGTAGTCAAGCTAGCTCACGCTCTTTGCGCAAAGAGGAAGGTCAACATGGGTTTTGTCCACACAAGTGACGATGCCCAGGAACGACTGCATGCCAATGCTCGGCGCCTTACCAAGGCCGAACCCAAGTTCATGGATCCCGGTATCATTTATCGTCAGAGTTTGGCCGTTCCCCTGGCGATCAGCATGCCATCAGGGAAAATTCCATAGGTATGACAAGATGGTGTGATGGCCTTCAAAGTAACAAGGCGTCCGTAGACTTCAAGCTGCTGTCGTCGGATGCTAGCTCATGCGAGTCATGCACATCCGATATCGATAAGCGTATCTGTAAATGTTGATACATCATAGCCACATCGAGCTTCCTCAAGCTTGTCATTAATCTTGGCGCGTTGGATTCTTTGCGGCATAGCTGCCGCGGCTATCAAGTTCGCGGCTAAGGCGATTGTCAGCAACCGGCGTTGATTTTCACACCGAATATCTTGGGCAAGGAGATTCGAGCCCTGGCACTATGGCAATGTAGTAATGCGGGGAGTATCAGATTCGAGGCCATCTGCGGCGAGCTCAGCCCCTGGTGTATAACACAGCCCCTGCTGCAGCTTTCGTCATCTAAGTCAACCCGTTTTCTACGTTTCTGTAAAACTCGCTCTCATCACGTTTCTTTCCCATCATCTCACCTCTACTGCAGTTCCTGTCACTCCACGTGTGACCACTACGTGTGTCGCCTTTCTTCCTATGGTTCCTATATAGCCATGTGATCCACAACGATTAGAGCTAAGAAATTCCAGTGCTCAAGCTCCGCGTCTGTTGTGGGCTTTCTGGATTTATTCGAAAGCGGAAGAAAAGTACTAAATGGAAGAGATAGTACGGGTGATGGTTCAACGTTTTGGGCGGGCACATGAAACAAGGTTTGCTGAAGATGAGACGATAGAAGCATAGTACTTGATAATATATACGATTTCTGGCGGGTGCAAGCTGAAAGATTATCAGCTGGAAGCCAACATCGGAATGCGAGAGCATTGTGGAGCAAGCTGTGAGTACTTGTAGGGACGTTGAAAGATATTAGTCCTAAGTGAACTGAGCGAATTGAGCTGTGGTGAGGCGGGTGTAGCATCTGGCAGCCTTGATATCGTTTCGCTACGCACTGGAGTCTCCGAGCAGCACGTAAGTGAAAGCATAGATTCCTTGCTTGCTGGACCACCTGCAGCTTACATAGCCCAGCATACTGTCGTTGGTTTTGTGCTAGCGAAGGTTCAGAAGACTGAGTTCGTTCAAGAACACTATCGACGCTGTAATTGACTGCACGTCTACTCTGCCATTCGTCCATCAACAACCTTGTTCATCTCCACGATCGTCTCTCCTCAAGTTCTAGCGCTGTCCCTAGCCCCCATTCTCTCCAATTCCTATCCCAAGTCGTCTTCAGACTGACGCACAAGAGAATAGATGAGTATACCAATGGCCATGCTCAGTACTACTCCGATCAACATCGAGCCCCAGAACTTGAGCGACCTTAAACGATCTGCATCATGAAGGCTTATCTCTTGGCCGAGTGCACTCAATTCGATGTCAGGATTGCCAAAATTGTTTCCATGAGACACGGTCTCATTGGCGTGAGCAGCGTGTGTCGGGTGTGCAAATGGATTGACCAGTTGCTGTAAGAATGATCGTTTGGATAAAGGGCGGGGCGGGAGCTCAGAAAGGAAGGTTGACGAGACTTGCTCCGGCGACGGGCGCTTGAACTGCGTGTCACTGAGCGCTAGCGGGGTGGAAGAGTCACGAGTAGTCCAGGCTTTACTTGCATCGGTATGGTAGGAGCTGACCAGCTCTGGTCCTGTGACCTCAAGCCGGGGCCCAAGAAGCTGCAGCTTTGTGCTTCCGGACAGGGTCGCGTGGATAGGGCTCGCTGCTGTTTGAGCATCCGTCTTGTTGAAGTTGTCAGGTTTGAACGTGGTCGGTCCACATGTCGTGCTGCTCCCCAGTCTGATCATGTTGGCCGCTGGGGTTACGGTGACCTCTGGTTGAGCCATCATGTCTGGTAGCTGCTCTGTACAGTTTGTGGTTATCCTTTTCTGGATGCCTTGATCCGAGTTGACTTCGATGGGTCTGTTTTCGTGGAGCGTGATACCCATAGCAGCAATATTGGCTATGCGTTCACGACCGTCTGTTTGAGACTCTTGTAGATCTATGGAGAACAGTAGGGAACTAAATCGTAGACGAACTGCTGTTTGTTTTGGTAGTCCACCACGGAAGCAGTTAGAAGGGTAAAGAAGCGCTAGCGTGTGAGACGCCTTCACCTTGGTTTCTTGGTCCTCCATTCACTTGTACCTGAGAGCTCATATAAAGATTAAATAGATCGTTTCCCATATATCCCTCCTAGTTCAAGACGATTTTGAGCCTCCTTCACGGCAAACCATGACCTGACGTTACCAATCTACCAAGTCCATACCTATGTGGTAGGTATGGTAGTTGTTTGCTTGCCGGGGAAGCGAAAGAAAGCGTTTCACCTCGTTTGAAGGTACTTTAACCAACCCCCCGCTGTGCTTCTGACGATTTGTGCGCAACCTGAGTACAGTCAAAGCCAACCAACCGACGTAGGAGGCGCTACGAAGGTGGGTCAGTAGAAAAGTATCTGTGATTGATGTGATCTTAGATCTCTGGTTGAAGATGTGACAACAGTGAAAGCATGTGGAAAGTATTGCTAGTCTAGTTCTGGGGCCTTGTGTATCGTACTGTACTCTGGGACTTGGATGTCTAATTTGAAATGGAAGTCTTGAGTGGGATAAGAGCCGGATACAATCACGTCTTTGACTTGCCACTAGTCCGTTTATACCGTATGGTAGTACAAGGAACCCGGAGACACAATACATGGATGCTCTTTGTATGAAGCTTGTATATCTCGTAGCTGCGCGCGTCGGTGCTTCTCAGGTTGGGCGTACGTTGGTCAACTTCCGATGTCGTCATTTGGACAGTGGTGCTTCTTGCCTTCGAATACCAACGAGGAGAAAACTTCGTGTATATGAGCTGATAGATGTTGATGTTGGTATTACTGATGGACAGAAGGGTTGTATTGCCCAGCCCCTCCAGTGATGCACACTCAGAGGTTATTGTGCCCCACATGATTCTTGCCCCGCACAATGCTTGTGATAGCACCACATCGAGGTTGTAAACACCAAAACTACTTAGAAAGCTATAGGTGGTTGCGTCGTCAGTCTTCACCTTCGAGGCGGTCAAGTCAGTCTATAATCCGCACACCAAAACACCTTCTTTTCCAGATACTCATGAACGATACATTCGATTACATCGTGGTGGGCGGAGGTACTGCTGGCGTGGTGATCGCATCGCGACTCAAGGAATACCTTCCTGGTGCGCGCATCGCGTTACTGGAAGGAGGAGCAAACGCAGTGGACCACTCTATTGTCAATGATGTCACTGACCCATTGGATTGGACGACACACTTTCAGGAAGGTCTGATGGTTGACTACCCAACGACACCGCAAGAGTATCTTGATGATAGAAAGATACCCAACCCGGCTGGACGCCTACTATCCGGGTCGAGCGGCGTCAACGTTGGCATGTGGATGCGTGCATCTACTGCTGACTTGGACGTGCTTGCAGAAAGAGCAGGTAACGAGAGATTCAAGTATGAAAATCTACTCAGATACTATAGGCGTATCGAGACTCATTTTGATACGACTGCGGACACAAGTCGGTACGGGTTCGATGGACCAATCCACACAGTTGGAGGCCGAAAATACCCACTTAGGAGTGTACTCCAAAAGAGTGCCGAGAATCTAGGTCACAAGTACAATCCAACAAAGGGTGATCCAGTTGGTCTAGGAGATATCACCCAGTGCTGGCTTGCCACTTCCGAGACAACAGCGACGCGACAGCACAGTGCTAAAGTATACAATCTCGATGGTGTCAAAGTCTTTTGCGACACCCCAGTAGCTCGTCTTCTTCTTGACGAATTGAAGCGTGCTATAGCGATCGAGTTGATTTCTGGTCGCCGAATGATGGCAAGCAAGGAAATCATCATCTCTTGTGGCGCTCACAAAACACCGCAGCTCCTGATGCTGTCTGGCATCGGCCCTGCGGACCAGCTTATGCAACACGGGATATCTCAGAAGGTAGAATCGCCCGCCGTTGGCGAAAACCTCACGGACCACAACGTTGTCACACAATACTACAAACTGAGAGATCCATCGAAAGGTCTCGCCCGTCCTTTCGACGGTACTATGAAACCTGAATATGGTCAAGGTCTTCCGTTTGATTTCGCCCTTTTTGCGAATCTCCCAGCAGCAGAAATAGAGACACATCTAAGAGAAGACGGTATCAATCCTGATGGCTTGAGCGAGAAGGCCTTGCTACTAAGGCCACATCGGAGCCACTATCTCAGTGTAGCGTGGTACTACCCACTTCTTGCCCACGCCACCGCATTTCCGACAGTTCAAGCAGATGGTGCTCATATTTCTTTATGCGCTTTCCACATGCTTCCTCTGTCACGCGGTACCGTGACGCTTCGATCTGCCAATCCGAGGGACAACCCGGTCTGCAATCCACGTTATCTGTCCACAAAGACAGATCGCTTCATCCTTAGACGGGCTATACGTGAGAACCTTCGCCTTGTGGAAACAGAGCCACTTGCCTCGGAAATTGAGGGCGAAGTGCCACCTGCAGATCAGAGGTTCCCAGCGCTGACAGCTGCGAGCAGCGACGAGGAGATTGATGCAAGAATCAGAGCTTTTGCAGTAACCATAGCTCATCCGATGGGAACTTGCGCTCTAGGAACAGTGCTGGATGATAAGTTCAGGGTCAAGGGAATGAAGGGGCTAAGGGTTTGCGATGCTAGTGTGTTTCCGGAGCCGATTGCTGCGATGCCGAGCTGCACGATATACGCGTTGGCGGAGCTGTGTGCTGACCTCATTGCGAAGGAGATAGAAGACTTATCATGATTCTCTCCAAACTCTTCGTCTCATATAATTGGCCTCGAGAAGGATGGAAAAGATGCCATTGGGGAAAACGCGTACGGGCAAAGAACTGCGACTGGAAAAGATCAATACACATTAATTTCATTGATCACGATTAATAAAAGGAACCCACGATGGCACATTGCATTCCATCGTATCCATAACTACCTGCAGCGGTGTCAACCACGGATCTATTCGATATCCACCTTGCGGATCTCCACGAAACCAGAGTCTAGCTTCGGTACCTCAACCCTCAAGACACCGTCCTCAAGCTTCGCTGTGATACTATCGGTATCGACGTTTGCTGGGTTCGCCCTCGTCCCAAGACGAATTTTTCTCTCGAAGGCTCCAACCTTGCGCTCATTCATAGCAAGTGCCTTCAACAACTCCTCGTCACCAGGGCGGTATATGACACCGGCAATGCTTAGCTCACTCTTCTCTGCATCCCAATTCACGCCAACATCTTCCTTTTTGGCACCAGGAAGCGAGACGTGAACAACATAGGCGGACTCAGTGTCGAAAATGTCGGCGTCAGGTGTATGGTCCTCGGACTCATTGGCTTTGGTAGTGTTGGTAGCGTTGGAAGGGTGGGTGTCGGTGAATTGGTTAAACAACTGTGCGGCAAATGCAGAGGGGTCGAAGGAGTTCCAAGGATTATCAGCAGCCCCAGAGGGTGCGCCAACCATGCACTGCCTGCCTGGAAAAGGCACTCCGCGTGACCAGGGACCCCAGCCTCCGCGATGGCCGCCGTGATGCGGTCCGTGGCGAGGTGAGCTGCCATAGGGATGGTGAGCATGATGAGGTCCAGAACCAGCTGGGCCACCAGGACCGCAGCGTCCTCGACGTCCTCCACCGCAGCGACCTTGAGAACGGCCACGGTGGTGAGCTTCATGGACTGACCCAGAGGTACTTGAAGGACCTTGGCCATTATCATTCTCGGTGTTTATCCTAGCATCCTTCTCGGCTTCCGGCTGGTCTGTACCGTCGTGATTTTGGGCACCGGTGGCTCCCTCGTGATGGTGCTCATGTTGTCCATGAGGAGGTCCCCCTCGATGAGGCATACCCCAGGCGCCACCGAAAAAAGGACCACTCGATCTGAACGGAGCAAAAGGATCTTGGGGGCCTTGAGGGGGTGCCTCGTGGTCGTTGTTGGTCTCGTCGTGACGGTGGTGGGTATGCATAGGGTGTTGCGGGCCTCGTTGAGAGTCTTGCTGCTCGAGGCTAGCGATAAAGTCCCAGAAGGGAGCGGAATTGTTCATGTATGTAACGGACGGCATTGTAATAGGCCAAGTTGTGTGGTGGTGATGGAGGGATGTAATGTTTCAATGCAAGAAGCTACCTTTTCGGGCGTCTTATACAAAGCAAACGACTCCAGGCATCAAGTCGCACGTGCAAGCGTACGTATGTGCAACCCTCGTTAGCTTACTCGCCACGCAGCCTTGTTGGTGACCAAGCGAGCGATTTGCGGCCAGAGACCAATGGCTCGCCATTGTGTGACTCTTGGAGAAGTTGGTAGAAGCTAGCAGAAGAGAGCGTGGACGACAGGCTTCCAGGGCGCGCCTCTAGAGCATCGACTGGGCGGGTGGTGAGCAGGCAAACGGGTGTTGCGCGTCCAGATGGTCGGGCAGATCGGGGCGTGTGTTCCTCCGTTGTGGCGGTGGCTGTGGCGGCGCGAAGAGGATTGGCTGCAGACATATCCTGAAGGGTGTGCCTTCATCTCTCCACATGGGCCAGGAAGACCAATGGGAGTGTTGCCTGCCTACATGTTGGGGGATGGTAGAGGAGGGGTAGCTGCAGCTGCGAGTGTTGCAGCTTCGCCATGACGTTACTAGTCTGCAACAAAAGTGTGTGCCCCACCAAACTTCTCTTCCGCCCCGACCACATTCACCACCAATTTCCATTCAATCTCTCAATCGTACCACTCGAGTCAACATGTCCGGAAGCATCCCCACGTCCACGTCGGTCAGCGAGTCAGCTGTCATCGACGCGTCTTTCAGCGATGTCTGGCACCTGATCAAGCTCCAGGACTTCAGCAAGTTCTGGTCCAAGCTCGACAAGAGCGAATTCGTCAAGGGAACCTCCGACGAGACGGACATCGTCAAGTGGACCTTCAAGGACGGCGCCGAGCTCGAGGTCAAGCAAGAGGAGCACTCTGTACGCGGCGCAGGCGCATGAGCAAACCCTGCAGATACTGACTGGGATGCATAGTCAATCGACCACTTCATCACATACTCCGTCATTACCTCCAAGCCTGAGCTCTCTTACTCTTCCGTCGTCTCAACTATCCGCGTATACCCCGTCACTTCCGGCACCCACGAGAACAAGACGTTCATCACATGGTCTGGCAACTTCAGCAGCGATGCCGATGCTAGTACGTGAACAAAACACTCCTGCCATGCAACACATCTAACACAAGTAGGCGTGATCCAGGATGCCAAGTTCAAGCGCCGCGAAGCCCTTGCCGACCTCGCCAAAGTTGTCTCCAAGAAATAGGTTTCGGGCAATGGAGGCCTGACTTTCTCAGAGGTTGAGAAATTCATGCAGTAAAAGACATGTTATGGTGGCTCGCATTGCGCGATTGATTCGCAATGACGATGATGATGATGATCTGAGAATCATGCAGGCAATGGACCCGAGTTCTGTAGCTCAGCATAGCAATACCGAGCAAGATACAACGTTCAAGAATCCTCCCAGCTCTCTCCAGAAATCTATTACCTTTTCCATGACGGTTCAAAGACCCCCGTATCGGTTGTGTTCAAAACCCCTCATTCATAGGGCTTCGCATGACCAAGGGAGTGCTCAGCCACTCTGCCTGCATCCAAGCGAATCCTTCGACTCGCGGATCGCCTATTTATGGCAACGCTCTGAATTGGCATGACTACTAAAGCATCTTTCATCAACACCCTGATAGCTACGTGTTGACACCATAACCACAAAAACCTTTTTCCGACATATACTTTGCCTTGGAAAGAATCTGCGCTGCACTACCTGCGGTCGCCGAACAGTTGTTTGTCGCGGATACATAACCATGGATGGCACAGGGATTGGAGCTAAATCGTTCAGCAAAGCAGAATGTATAGTCATGCGTAACTCTTACAATTCATTGCACGCTAATTTGTAGCAGTGGAGAAACAATTAAAGCTTGAAGAGCAGAGGAAAGCCCATGGGAAGACTGACCGAATCAAACATGAGGAAGAGCTGAAGGAGGGTGAGGACAGAAGAAAGAAGGGAAGGGTAAACCGGTGGATCAATTATGCGTTGTCGAGTCTTGCCAGCTAAAGGTCGACATCGTGAGACCACTATCAAACATTTGCTCGTAAGAGGGAGGTGTGTTCGAACCTAAAAAACTCTCCTGGTCAGATTCAGGTGTGATCTTCATGCTATCGAATCACACGCATATTGTATATAGCGTTCGAGTCTAAGGATTGAACTACTAGGAAGGACAGGTAGAATAGGTAGAGCGCAGCATGTACTTCTGTGCCACACAAATATCACAAAGCGACTCGTTATCTATCAACAACATTAAGAGTACACGAGGCTCAGTTGAAAGCTAATATACAAGAACAAGTTGCTCCATTAGCGTTGGTCGATCGTAGCTGTCGTATCATGGGGCGACATACCTTTGGTGCCGTTGCATGGGCAGCTCAACCTCGAAGTCAGTGGACTTTTCCCATGATCGATAGAAAGATTAGATACAGCTCGACTTGCAGAAGCTTTGTCCCTCGAAGACTTCCAGCCATCAACACTAAAACACAGTCCCTACCACAAGACGCAAGGGGAAAGAGATGACATCACAAGATCTAGCCTCGTGTGCCATAGACGCAGGATACAATAGCTCTGACCCAATCGAAAAACGAAAGATTCGGGAAAAGAAGGGTTAAGCGTAACCCTCCTCCAGCCTTCCTTCCGAGGAGGTTGATCAAAACAACTCCAGCCCCAGCCTCATAAAGTAATAAAGACTAGCAATGCCGCCGAGTGCCGCTATCGCACTTGGCCCCCCTTTTTCCTCTTTCTTTTCCCACCGACGAGATGCCAGCATGCGACTAATCTAACTAGTTCTGCGCGTTTTGATTACCTACCATTCTACCGTGGGTTGCATTCTGCATGATGCGCTGGGGGCCGAGGCTGTACCAAGGAAAAGCAACGGGTAGCGGAGAGAACGTCGACATCATCCGCACCGTTGCTCCGAGAAACCGAACGTCGATTGACAGATGCTGATCGCCAAAAGAGGTTGGGAATTGCGATCAGGGTCAACTGGTGATGCCCGGGTACGGAACCGCTTTCTCGCTGCAGGGTTACGTTGTGGAATCAAGTTCATGGCTGTTTCCAAGTGTGAGTGTATATCGTTGGGGATATAATTGCATCTCATATATTGTTCATTTGATAATTATCGTTATTACCACGGGTTAAATGATCACTGCTAAGCACAGCGTATAGATGGAACCGTGTTATGACGCCATCTTGCCCACGCATTCATGGCAAACAGCCATGAAAAAAAAAGAAGAAGAAGAAGAAGAAGTGATATAGCTGAATAGAGGAAGAGACTGATCAATTCCCAGGCTGCCTATAACCCAGAGTCTCCAGGGAAGAGTATGCCATTGGGATGAAATATTCTGTGGTACGTTTGCCAGTTCTTGCACGTCCTCTTCATTTCGGCAAATCCATCCTTGGCCTTAATCTCAGACGAGCGCTCAAGAAATTGTACACCAAGACCGGCCGCCACGTGGAAGGGGATATGGCAGTGCATCAGCCATGCTCCTGGGTTGTCAGACTCGAAGGCAAGGACGAGGTAACCTCTGGCAGGGAGATTGGCTGTGTCTCGACGAATGGGATTATTGGTCTTGAGCCGGGAAATGTCACCATTCCAGACAGCATTCTCTTGCTGGTCCAAAACGTAGAAGTCGTGGCCGTGAAGATGGATGGGATGGGGTAGTGGTGGAGCAGTGTTGTTGGTGGTGTCTTGTTGAATGACCCAGTATTGCCACTAAAGGTACTGTCAGCTGCGAAAACTTCTGGTTTCAATGCTGTAGACTCACCTTGTGGTTCTCATCGATTTCAAACACGTGCCGATTATTTCCGTACGTGACGTTACGATCCAACACATCTTGTAATGTGGGTCGATCGAGGTCGATCGCCATCGGATTACCATTTACGAGCCACTGTACCAATCCCTGGCTCTGTGTTACATCGCTAGTGTAGTTGTCGTTGAACCCGAAAGTCAATGATTCGGGCATCTCTTGGGGGACAGTCGTCTTGGCATACGGGACGATGTTTTGCTCGTCATAACAACCCACTGGTAAAACTCTAGCAGTCGAGTTGGGCTCCCCAGCTGGTCCGCCAGCATACCGGAAAATACTCTTGATATTCGCCGCATTTGCGTTGGGTCCGTCGCATCTACCACCAGTACCTACACGCCACCAGTAGTTGCCAATAGGCTCGGTTGCGTTGATGATGATCTCATAACGTTGACCTAGTGATCATGTTAGTGAAACGTTCTTCAACAATAGTTATCGTGGCTGCGCTCTCGTGGGTGGGGGCGCGTCGCACAGGCGCATGTTGTGAGAACCGCAACGGGCGGGTGGAGAGAAAACGACCCGGCTCAACTTACCGACTGAGAGGATGAGGTTGTCAGTCCAAAAAGGCTCAATTGGTGTGAAATCGGCGGAGATGACCTGGAAAGAGTGGCCATCGAGGCCGACATGCAGGTAGTTGTTGATACCGGTGTTGACGAGTCGCAACAGATGCGTTTTCCCGGGAGTAAGGATCGTCTCTGCATATTTTCCTCCTGCGGCAGACGTCATCGTGCCGTTGATGAGAACGTTGTCTGCAACTGGAGGGCCGTTGGCATGAACAGCAGCGGCATTCACTGTGAATGTGGTCGCGTGAAACCAGTCTGTCATCGGCAGCACACCAAGATCAATGTCATAGTTCGCTGTTGCTGGTCCCCGTATAATCATGGGACCCACGAGACCATCGCCGTACTGTACGGAATAGTGCGAGTGATACCACTGTGGCTGTCAGATATGTTCCGATCATAGATTACGCCACTGGACAAACTCACCGTGGTGCCGTACTGTGTCGCCTTGAACTTGTAGACCTTGGAGTCACCGGGTGCAATTGGACATTCAGTGATACCATTGACTCCATCTTGCTCATTTGACCCGAGTTGTCTTAGACCGTGCCAATGCAGACCAGTGCCGTTAGTTTGGAGGTCGTTGGTCACGGTTATCTCGAGATCATCGCCCCAGTCTGCCAGGATGGTCTATAACATGTTAGTAGGGGAGCGAACATGTTGTGATCGATGCGCTTACAGGTCCAGGTGTTTGGCCGTTGATCAAGAAGATTGGTCTCTCAAAACCGTCCGGGGCTCCTGTGCCATTCGTGATAGTCAGATGATACTTGACTGTCTTTCCAGTATTTGGCCAGTGAAGATCCATGTCCGTGTCGATGTCGAAGTCGCCGTTCCAGCATCCTCGTGATGTCGGTCCATGGTTACAGTTCGTTTTGTACCCGTCTCGTTTTTGGTGGCCACTCCATAGACCGGTTTCTTTCCACGGAACCTCAGGAACTCTGGGTGTGAGGTGCTCCACAGAAGGCACAGTCAATGAAGCGACGAATGGCAGGAGAAGCCCCAAGGCGGTGGCTACTTTGAACATTGAGGCAACCATTATGGATTAAGCAGGGAGGAACGAAAGAACTTAAATGTAAACGACAGCTGCCAAAGCCTGAATGCACAGGGTCAAAAGGTGCAAGCAGGCTCAGATTAACTAACGTAAAACGGAAAGCGAAAGGCTGGCTGGTCGGATACACAAAGGATGGTACGAGTGATTATATCTTCAGCATGGCAACTTTGCCCTGCTGCTCTAGTGGGCCGAGGGATAGCCCCGAAAGGCTACCAACGCCAGCAGTGGAGAGTTCCCACCACTAGCTAGTGGTATGATCATTCCATGTAGAGAGTGTCGCCGCGAGAGTATCCAAGATCGTCCTGAGTACGGCCTACGGCACATAAACGGTAAGGATGCTGGCTTAGTATGGGCGCCTTGCCCAGAGCTGTGAGCGTAAGATACGGCTGCATATCAGCCCTGAGGGCATGAACGGAGATTTCTAAGTGGTTACTTTAGTCGCAAATGTCGGCATCGCTCGTGTTGCGAGACAGAATGCAGCTAGACCTACCCAGCCTCGGCGGAAGACATTGACTGAAGAGGGCGAGCTAGGCACTCGGCAGAGATGCAGCAAGTGCTGAGTCGTACAAGGAGGCTGTAGCTTCAGCAGGCCGTGATGCTGCATCAAGCGGTGATGTGCCTTGGGTCGCGCAGAAAGTGGGGCATGTGAGGCATAGCTTGACATGTAGATACATGGAGGAGATGCCGCTACGGGTAGTCTGCAGAGCCGTCGCCTAGGCTGACCGTGGAGTCGAGAGCCGCCTCCGGGGCTTGTAAAGCTTGATAGTGGTCAAGCGAGACGAAGAAGGATCACAGAAGCGCAAGCGAGTCAACATCTGGAGACGATCTGTGCTATTTCCTACAAGCGCTAGATCCGCTAGGGTTAGCGTATCATGCTGTGTCGGACATTTGTGAGGGGGGCCGGACCTCCTCGTCCGACCACAGCATCACTACATCACGATATTGACCACTTAGAGCGCGTCCTGAGGAAAGGATGTGTGGATTACACTTGAATTTGCGCTGTGGCTCGGCTATAATCGCCACTTCTCGAGCGTGCCGTGCCGCTTTCATGACGTTCAGGACCAAAGTCAGACTATTGATATGCACCAGAGCTGCATTGGCCGTCTTGGGCAGCCACAGGCGCTGCGATAGTATCGGCGAAACCTTCAGATCTCGAATGATATCTCAATGCTCCAGTGTTGCCACCTTGAGGACACGGCTGAAGCGGATACATCTTCTCATACTTGCTTCTAGGCGAACAGGGCAATGCCGGATCAACGTTGTGGCTATTTATCCTCCGTACTTGCAATAGTTTTGAACAGTCAAAGTATTCCCGCTAGCAGCTGAAAACAAGTGAATTAGATGTACGCTAGGCTGCTACCCACAGTCTCTCCCACGTCATCCTTGCAAGAAGCGCCCACTGGCCATCATCTGCATGCTTATCGCTACCAACACATAGGTTTGACAGGAAGCGAACTTCCAACGGCCTTGTGTCAGATTTGGTGCAGTCTCGTCCATATCGGTAGTCGAAATACTGACAGCGAAGAACGCCACAATATTGAAGGAGCAATGCGCGTCTGCTTACCTGCATCTTGCACGGGATCCTTCGCACAGCTC